GTGGCGTCTGTACGAACGTATGTACATACGTGAGTACGTACGTATCTCTCATAACTCAAAAACGAGTAGCCTCAGAACGTTGAAATTTTGTATATAGGACTGCTATAACATGTAGATGTGCACCTCGTATTTTGGTTGCAATCGGCCGCACCGAACGTATATAAATATACTTATATATATATCCACTCTGTTACCCGGCTCAGTGATCTCAGTTTCTTTACTCTTATATGTTTGTAAATTGTACATTTTTTGCTTTAAAAATGATTGAATTATGTTGTTCTCATCTTCCGGTTAAGGGTTTTATGCCTTTCGTAATTCTGGAAGCAGTATTTGTACAATTATCAACAATTTAAAAGCTGTTTAAGTGCGGTTGAGTTTTAAATAACATGGCGGACGTATTTGTTTAAATTTGAAACAGCAGAATTGTAGATTTGTTGCCAATCTGGAGAAACTAAGCTTCGCAACAACAAAAATAACGCCTTCATTTATTATTGCGAATTAAATCATGCTTAATCCTTTCTGGAATTTTTTCGAGGAAATAAGTGCTGAAGATTTACTTCTTAATTTTTAATACAGATATTTTGAGTTTTTATGTATTTTTGCCTTCTCGCGAAATGAGAATTGAATTAATTGAATGAGAAATACTCAATCGTCTGTGAAAAACTGTTTCTTTTCTGTTTTGTTTCCTTAATTTCTCTTATACAGCCTTCTAGCTTTATTATAGTATTTGAATAGAACATGTGGCAACGATTAGATAATTCTGTTCCTTAATAAATTATATAAATTTTGTGCATTATGAGTTATAATATGAACGAAATATAATACTGTTAAGTCAATCTAGCGCCAGAGTGTCGCTATGGTAAACAAATACTAGTGTGAATTTTAAAGAATGCATTTATTCTGTTGTGGTTTATGCGCTGTCGGTGAAGCAGATTTAATTCAATCCAATAAGTTTAAAGGAAATGCAAGAAAAAATGCGTATAATTTAATATTCCGTACAAGGAAGTCATGTGGTGTACACATCAGAGTTTTTTAGTTTATTTGTCCTTTTTAAAGTGTCATTAGCATTTTCATCTAGAGAGTACAGTTCATCTTTTAGATGTCTTTTTTTAGTTATTGCGAAACATGTCAGCAGAATAATATTCATCATTTCAATACATACACAATTTTACAATTTTTTAATGTTTAAGTTTCCTTCCTACTTTTCTAGCAAAAATTTATGAGTTAATTCAAAAGTATGAAGTAAAAAGCATTCCTTATTCCTTCTTGCAAATCGTTCGTTATGAGACTAAGCGTTTAAAACTTTAAAAGTCCGAAAAGCTCATGTCTGCGATGATTTGCAGCTGTTTTCTTTCCACGATGTTTTCGACGATGTTGTTTTTAAACTGCATTATTTTCGACCATGTTTTGTACCATGATGTTATGAAACGGCGATGTTTTCTTCCGCGATGTTTTGCACGACAAAGTTTTCTTCCGCGATGTTTTGCCACGACAACGTTTTCTTCCGCGATGTTTTGCACGACAACGTTTTCTTCGGATCAAGCGTTAGTACACTGTACATTGCATTCAGGTGCCCGCGCGTGAGCGCTACCCTAGGATATCTGACTGAACGATTTTCGATTAAGTGCAGTTCCTAATTTGGCGCCGGTGAAATCATGCGTGATGATGGCATAATCTGATGGAGATCCCGAAGAGACTAGCCACCGCAGTGGCTAGCACGCCCCATCGGCCGAGGGCAAGTGCGGAGTAAGAAAAAAGAGATGCCTTTAAGCAACCAAGTCCATAGAGTCCAGTGTGACACACATAACTTACAACACACAAAGTTATAAGCAGAGCGAGCAATTGAGTACATAAATGCAGTATGACAAAAATGGTATATTAAAATAAACATGGCGGTAGATTGCATAGAAAAATATTCACACTTACATATCAGAAATATTAAACATAGAGTAAATAATAGTAGGAACAACAGGTTATGTGAGATGTCTTAGCACAGCCCTAGGCCTTTTTTTGAAGGCTCGGCTGTTATAATCATAGTTCAAAATTGGTATGGTGGGGTTACAAACAGCAGGGATGTTCTGGTAAAATCTGAGGGCCAGAGTGGCCATATATTCCTTAACATAGGGTATATTGAATTCACGGTGGATTCCGCGATGTTTTTGCCACGTTGCTTTCGGCGTACATTTGCTTTTCAAATATGTTTTAATGATTCCTTTTCTGAGGGTTTATTTTATTCTTAAAGTTATATACCCTTTCAAGCAACTTCTTCCATCATGCAAAAGTATTTTTTCTGCGAGCACGAAGCAAAATCCCTTCTGAATCCATTTTGGAAAAACGAGTTCTCTGTTCTGTTTGTACGTACAGATACCAAGCAGAAAAAACCGTTCCAATGGATTCGAGAATGATTAAAATGGATATTTTAGTTGAAATACGACACCCTAAATTTTTCGCGATTGCAACAATTGCTGTACTTCGTATAAGGAAGTAAAAAATTATGAAACAAAAAAAGAAAAGAGAGAAAAAAATTACTGAATGGGAATAATTTCCTATGATACTTATTTGATATTGAATTTAATTACATTTATCTATCCTTTGCGTTAGTTTGGAGTTTGTTTTGCAGCTTGTGTTTAGTTATTAATAAAGAAATAATCCACGAAAAATTGGAAATTTAAATTGACGAAATTGTATTGTTTTGCTACATCGTTATCCACGCGTCAAAATTTATTCGTTGAAAGAAGTATTGAATATTTATAATATGTTTCAAAATCTTAGATCCTTAAATGTCGTCCTGATAATAAAATATTTTAGCATCTGGTTAGACACATTTTTTATCAAGAAAACATTGAATAACAGCTGGAAAGATGAAATGACCGTTAAGATGATTGCGTTTTACATGCAAGATTTGAAGTAACTTCCGTGCTGTTCTTTGTTCACTTTAAAGACGTTTTTATATCTGCCCGTCTGCAACTTATATACGTCATGGAGAAAGGATTACTTCGTTTTCTTTTGAATATAAATCAAATTGTACAAGATCAAGATACTTTACTCTAATAGATGTTGACTATTTTCCAATCATAATATTGAAGCTTAGTTCTTATTTTTGCTGAATTTGTTCATTTGGTCAACTGATTTCATACAACATTCTCACGTGCTGAAGATAAAAATGTTTTTTTTTCGTACAGCGTTGCCATTGCTCGCTTTGAAATCGTTGAGTTTGTTAATCAAAAATTCGTTAAAGTTTTAGAAAATATGAAATTGATAATAAAAAAAAATTCTAAATTCCAGATTTGGACATCTAGGTGCCCAACTTCGGGTGGAGGATTACGTTATTCAGAATTTAATGGATCTAGGTATCGTTGTTTTTTCACAATGCGAGAAACATACACACATTCATGCAGGTCTTTTATTATTTAATTTCTTTAAATATAACACAGGGCGATAATATTTAGTGGCAATAATTTGATACAGCCGTTTATAGTGATTCGACACAAAATGCCGTTTCGAGACTAATAACCCTTCTGGGATAACGCCCCTTTGGGTTAAAAAGTATCGTGTTTTAAAATAAATGCAACATTATTAAATTAAATACAAGGTAAATGAAGTGGGATGTTTCTCGTTAATTAATATGGCACACTTGTTTTCCATAAAATAAATTCCTTTAAAAATTCTTTAAATTTTAAAATAAATATTGTAATCTCCTCATGAATATAAATTAACCTGGCTGATTTTTTATTGCATTAAAAGACTAGAGCCGGTTTGTTTCATTCTTAATGCAATAGACTATTACCAACAACAAAATGTGAATTCGCTAAAATCACAAATTGAGTTATTCCACCCCCCCACACACATTCTCCTGCGAAGCCAATTTTGCAATTTCAGATTAAAAATGAAGATCATTTGTGATTATTGCACAATTACAGGAAATAGTTTTAACAATGAAAAACAAATCTATTTTCTCTCTCTATATATATGTTACCGTGAAAGACCGAAATATGAGAATGTCGACTTTCCCCGGAGAATGTCAACATTCACCAAATACGTCGGTGAAAAGATCGAATATTGCATTACAGTTTTGTACATCCGGACCCTCACCGGTGTATGACGACAATCACAGACATACTCTGGTGTAAGTCGAAAAGAGAGGAGTATATGTACACGGTGTCATTGCAAAAGGAAGTGTTCCACAAATAAATGCAGTTGTAAAAGCAAGGGCCTTTTGTGCAATTCAAAGTGTCATAATAGTTTAAGTTGTTGCAATAAATAAGATTTGAATCACATAATTGAGTAAGTTTTTAACTTCTATTATTTTCCTTTCTCATTTTGAATGTACTGTATGTTTTAAATTCTTATATTCTTGAGTTAAGTCTCAAGTGCGTTTATCGCGACTGAATTACGAAGAAGAAAATATATTATGTTCTTATATGTTCAACATTCACCATTAGTACATAGTGAATGTCGACATTGACCGGTGTAATTCAGAAATAATAGTATTTGGAAAATATTTCGGACGTACACCAAGCGACTATGTGAATGTTGACATTCACCGGTGAAAATCGATATTCTCCAGATTTTGGTGTTTCACAGTAACATATGTATAAACAAAAAAATTGTAATTTAAAAATTCAGATTATAATCTAACACCTCCAAGAAAAATTTGCCTTTAAAAGTTTTTTTTTTTAATTTAAAAACGTAAAACATAAACAGTTTTGTGAAAAATTATTTTACACAAATTATATAATATACGGCGTTGGAAATATCTTTCACTATTTGCAAATGTTTATAAAATTATCAGTTGAATATATTACAAATTTTAATTTACATCAACTAGACACAATACTAAAAATTAAAATAACGATTTGTTGCCTTTAAATCCCTCACTGTGAATCAGTAACAACTTAATTAAACTTTAAAGATAAATTAATGAATGGCCAGGGGGGATTCTAGCAATATTACTCAGAAAACACTGATATAAAACTGAATTTGTTTTAAGGTATACGCACCAAATATATTCTCCGGGCATGCTGTGTCTTCACTGGATGGCGCAACATAAACCTGAGTTGTTGTACTTGTTCTGTGGTAAGGATTTTCAGCAACACAAGTGTATTCTGCCTCGTCTTTTGCAGATATGCAGTCTAAATAGAGTCTGCTGGTCGTAGAGCCGATGTTTGTTTTGGGTGCTCTGTTTTCAATCTGCAAAAAGTCGTCAGATACAACTGTAGATTCCTCGTCTCCATCTCTACCATTCTGAAAAAGAAAACTTTTTTGTAAGAACTTTCGTTAGATCTATAAAGGAAATATAACAACAAACTTCATGAACTAGTCAAAATAACTTTAGTTTTAATAACTGTCCATGCTGATTTTACAGTAAGCCCCATATCTTTACATTAATTCTGTAGATGATGCTTCAAAATCATTAAAACTAATTAAACTGTTCCATGGCAGCTCAAAAATGACTTAAGTAGCCTTCATTACTGCACTAGCATTGACTGTTTGGAACAATACCAGAAGCTTTAATTTCTATACTGGAGGCTTTAATTCGCCTGAAAACAACAATACCGGAGGCTTTAATTCGCCTGAGGTGCTAGAAATAATCTTGAAAGAATCTCTGCAGATTATGTTTTAAGTTATTAAAAGTAATTAAAATACTTCAAGAAGCAATGTAAAAATGACGTAACTAGTCTAATAACACAACCAACAACTATTTGGAGCAATTTTCGGAGGATTTTATTTTTGTCTAAACTGAAATGCTAGAAATAGTCTGCAAGGAATCTCTGCAGATGATGTTTTAAGTCAATCAAAATAACTAAACTACTTAATGAAGCAACTGGCCTTCAATACTACACACCAACAACTAGTTGGAGCAATACCGGAGGCTCTTATTTTTGTCTACACTGAAATGTTAGAAACAATCTGCAAAGAATCTCTGCAGATGATGTTTTAAGTTATTAAACGTACTAAACTACTTCATAAAGCAATGTCAAAATGACGTAAGTGGCCTTCATCACAAACAGAACCAACAACTACTATTTGGAGCAATACCGCAGGCTTTTATTTTTGTATAGACTGAAATGCTAGAAATAATCTTCAAAGACTCTCTACAGATGATAATTTAAGTTATTAAAATTAATTAAACTACTTAATGAAGCAATGCAACAGCGACGTAACTGGCTTTCATCACTACAAAACTAACAATTATTTGGAGCAATACCGGAGGCTTTTATTTTTGTCTAGCCTGAAACGCTAGAAATAAGTCACGATGTACAGTGTCTCAAAAAAGTGATGGGACACTTGTGCTTTACAAAAGGAAACTGCAATAAAATTAATTTAAAAAACATGTAAAATTGTGGGTGTGTTTTATACTTAAATTTAGTAACAATTATTACATAACATACATTTTCTCAAAATATTAAATATTAATTTAATAAAAATACAATTGTTTAGAACGGAGCAGAAAAATGGCTCACTTAAGTGATGGGACACTTACTTTTCTATCAAATATTTATCCAAAAATTTTACTTTTTAAAAGGTTTTAATATTTTGTTGGATTTCCTTTTACTTTTAAAACATGATTTAATCTTCTTGGGATGGATTCGACTAATTTTTTTGTGATTTTACCCCATTCTTCTTGAAGCACCGATTTTAATTGTTGTTTTGAAGAAATGGTGTGTTTGCGAATTCTTGATTCCAATTCTTGCCAAATATTCTCTATGGGATTTAAATCTGGAGAATGTGGGGGTGTTTTTATTATTTCAAGACAGTTATACAGCAGCCAGAGTCTAACCTTCAAAGCACTGTGCTTGGGGTCATTGTCCTAATAGAATTTAAAATCGTTATGAAGGTTCAATTTTCGTGCTGAAGATTTGAAATTTTGATTTAAAATGTCAATATACTTGTACTGTTCCATTATACTGTCAATAAAACAAGATTACCAACTCCAGCGGACGACATACACCCCATACCATAATTTCTCCTCCACCATGTTTTACTGTTGGCACCAAGTTCTGTTTGCGAAATTCTTCCCTGGGTTTTCCCCACACCAAGATTCTACCGTCAGAACCAAATATATTAAATTTACTCTCATCAGCAAATATAACTTCATTCCAGTAATCAGAATTCTTATTTATGTTGGATTTTGCGAAAGCCAGTCTGAGTTTTCAATTCTTTTCACTTACGAAGAATTTTTTCCTGGCTGCTCTACCGTGATATCCAGTAGATCGAATTACTCTTCTAATAGTCTCAGAATTAACAATTACTCCATATAATGCTTGTAAATCAGCAGCAACTTTAGGAGCACTCATTCTTGGATTTTTTTAAATATTTCGAACGATAATTCGCTTTATTCCATTGGATAGCTTTGATGGTCGGCCAGGTCTTCTTTTATCCTGAATCATATGATTCTTTTTATATCGTTTAATGATATTGAAAACTGTTGAATGACTGAAGTTAACTGTTTCAGTAGTTTCTCTAATAGATTTTCCACGTTCATTATGCAAATTAATAATTAATTTTCGAATTCCAGGCAAAGTTTCTTTTCGTTTAGCATTCATGGCTGCACAGAGCTAAACAACACAAAAATTCTAAAACAAACTGGAGAGAAATACTGCAGACGATTTTATAAATTATTGGGAATTGCTTTTGAGTAAAAATAAATACCCCAAAAGATATTTTTATTGCTTACTTCAGACGATTTTTGTTGCATAGTACGTAGTGTCCCATCACTTAAGTGAGCCATTTTCTGCTCCGTTCTAAACAATTGTATTTTTATTAAATTAATATTTTAATATTTTGAGAAAATGTATGTTATGTAATAATTGTTACTAAATTTAAGTATGAAATACACCATCAAAAAGTTTACATGTTTTTTAAATTTATTTTATTGCAGTTTCCATTTGTAAAGCACAAGTGTCCCATCACTTTTTTGAGACACTGTATTTGGAAGTATACTTGCGCGCTTCTAAGTCGAAGAAGATTGTGCAGAACCCTAAGATAATTAACCATTTGAGATCATTATATTACATTAAATTTTAATAGTTAAGAGAGGGTTAGTGAACTTTCCAAACGCACTGTAACAGCATTAAAATGTTTTATTATTTAAAGTAATTAAATAAAGTTTTATATTTCATAGAATGTTCTCTAAATTTTAGATGATTTCCTCATGTGTATTAATTTGTAAATTATGAAATTTAAATAATTAAAAAGCAATTACTGATTAATACTGATACATATTTTTTTTTGTTTTAAAGCAATATTATGATCCCACACTCCGAAAGATATTCATAGATGCAAGGTTCAGAGGATAGTATTACGTATTAAACAAATTTTTAAAATTGTTTATTAAGCAAATGCTGAAGTTAAATCTGTTGATTAAGAAATGTGCTTCAGGTCAGGTGAGATACTTTACGTATGTTACTGACCCACTCTTTAAACCAGAAATCACAACTAAACTAGAAAGAGTAACTTCTCAGATTTTCTGGAAATTTTGCCTTTTGTTCCTCATTCCGCTAATACACAATATTATCGATGTGTTGATAGCACGTTAAAGCCATCATTTTAGCAGTATGACTTTCTTCAAGATACTTTAGACGAATGTGTCTTACCTATCTCTTTCTAGTTATAGCATATTTTAGTATTGAAATTAATATCGTCAAGGGCTATTAATATTTACAGTTTTGTATCAACATTTCAGACTTTAATAATGTATGAAATACGTAACGTTTCAAATAGTTTCAAATCATCATTAAAATCAAAATCATCAAAATGACATTAATCATTATCATCAAAATAATATTGTAAGGTCCCTCACTTGAAATCTAAGTTAATATTGGAAGTGAGGAACCTAGGAACTGATAAGCGAATAATCGCTAGAGTTCGAAGACAGGAAACAACAAGAGAGAAGGGTAAATAACCCTTTATTATTTCTATAAGATTTCACAAAACTCCGCCTGGGAGTGAACAAACAAAGTCCGCACTTTGGACTTGAACTTAAAAGACTAAGAATTAAACTAAAACTAAGATTAACTAACTAAGTATAGCCAAAGCTATCAAGGTACAATGAGAGTTGGCCCCTTAACCTATTTTTACTACGAAGCTTAGCAAGGGCCTGAGTACGGCCGAGCGTATAACAGCTTTGAGAGAGGGAGAGTGGCCAAAAAGGCAGACGCGCGTTGTTCCTCTCTCTGTCTCGGTAAGTAACTTCGTGGTTTAAATACCGCTCCTTCTCATTAAATATTCAGCAAATTCCAAAACTACGTTCTGGCCGGAAGTAGTAAGTTGAAGTTAAGAATTTGACAGGAAAGGAACTTTAACTTAAAATTTAACTGTTAATAAAATTAACATAATCCTTACAATATCATTTCTATTAAAAATAATATTACGAAATTCTATGACTTCAGACCTTTTACGCCATGTTGGATTAACAATGTTTTCCCCCAAGAATAACCTTCTATAAACGTGTTCGTTTTAGAAGTGCAACCTAATATTTAAAAGTATATTAGGATAATATATCATTTAGTCTTAAGTTTTACATGAGAAGAAAAGAAGTTTATTTCAAACAATGGTATTTAAAATATTTAATTATAATTAAATTAGCATTAATTATGCAACATACATACAACATTTATTTATAATAACAAATAACTATTTTTCATTGAATCGCTCTCATATATGCAAGGTTGTTGTTGTACAAGCCCTTTCTTATTTTCTTTGAAAATCATTTTTAAAAATACTGAATAGTCTTCTGCGTGAGACCATCTTTATGTTGAGGTCCATATTGTGGATATTTCAATCTAAAGTGAAACTGTCAATATCTTTGTAGGAATACATTAGGTTCATATTTGTAATGATTTCAAGATATAAAATAAAATATTTCATTTGAGAAAAGCGACAGAGTTTAATTTCAAATTTAAATAAACTCATTTATAAAGAAGCGATATTTATTCTTATGAATTACTTCGGAAAGGAAATTTTTTTTAAAAAATCATAAAATATCTTAAAATAATAGAAATAATTATTTTCAGTATATTCGTGATAATGACTAGATTTATTTACTAGATACTTACGGTTTTACAAGGCTAAAATAGAACTCGTAACAAAACTTAATTATTATTATTTCTTATAAATAATTTTATTATTTATAAGAATTATTATATTAAAGTTTATTTAATAGAAACAGACCATACACTTTGACTCATGTTGCTTTATGTAGCTAAATTAATACAAATTAAATTATTTAATAAAATTTAGACTATTAGAGACATTTAGTAGAGTGAGGAAGGTAGTGCACAAATTTTAATGAATACACAACTCAATGAAGATTTATTTTATTTTGGAGACACCACGCTACATGTCAATAAACAAGATTCTAAAACTAATTAAGTATATAATTTTGAAATGGCATTTATTTTTCATTTACCAAAATAAATTATATCTAGTTAAAAAGGTCAAACATTTCTTACAGCTGTAAATACTAGGTCGTAATTTACATTTATTTATACGAAAAGTAAGCAGGTTTAATGGAAAATGACGCCGATCCATTATCAGATGCTTACAACTCCGAAAGTGTCAACTAGAATTTGCGCGCTAATGGAAACTGAACTGGAGAAAAGGCCTATGGCGGAAATCCTCATTGCAACGACTGGCAACATTCATCTTTGCTGCGCAATGTGCATATGTGCTCGCCATAGACCTTTAATTTCTGGTAACTAAGACAAAATCGATCAGCCAGAACCGTAACTAAGCAGGAGTTATAGATGCAGAGGCACAGGATCAGGAAAGAAGGGACAGAACAAGAAAAAATTTTAAAGTATTAATATTTCCAAATGTAAAACTTACTATTCTTTTACGCGCTTCAAATATCAGATGCACTCTCAGCCACTCGCGAACAAGATCACTGCACATGCGTTTTGGCCATTTCCTTTCTATTTCAATCTTATTTCAGTCTCTTCTTTCAGTTCTATGCTTTTAGAATTAACGAGAGAAGCCAATGCTTGAAAAATGTCTACAGATCTCGCTGTATATACAAGAGGAAGTCAATAAATAAGTACATACTGATGTGGGATGATAATAAGTAGCCACGAGTAGTTTAAAAATGTGTCACCAGATTGTAAAACAATCGTATTTATACTTAAGCAAAAGCCACTGAGATCATTGAGGGTTTGTGAGGCAGGTTGAAAATGACTGCCATGCTAGAATGGGAATGTTGCAGCTTCGGGTTGCAACTTGCTGAAGACATGCAAGTCTAGTATGTCACAGCATGCAAATCTAGTATGCCACAACGTATTATTTGAACACGACAGTACCAGACCTCCCGCGAAATACATAATCGAGGTGTGAAGTGCCTTGCGATCTTATGTTGTCCCCTTTCCAATGGCAACTTTTTCAGCGTCCTCCATGTAGCCGAAAGTGATTTAGACTTTTTGATCCTTTGAAAACTCCCTAAGCAGTGCACGTTTCGAAGACGATGCAGGCACTAGAAAATAATACATAGCAGGCGATAACAACAGACTTGGATGCGGCAGATACTAGGATTATCATGCATCGATGGGATGAGAGTTGGGGAAACGACAATTGGATATTTCTATAATTTTTACAAAATTGTAGAAATAATAATATTGTATAATTTCTATACTGATAAATCATTAGTTAGGATGAAGGTATAAGGTATTTTAGTCTCCTTACCGCATGCCTTCGAGGTGTAATTGGAAGGAGGTCTGCTTAGCAATCACAAGGTCTGGAGTTCGAATCCCAAAGAGGGCATCTTTGATTTTTTCTATTTCTCGGCTTCAAAAGAATTCTAAATGCCTCTACAGTTGCTCCCGAAATAAAATGTGATGGACGATAATTCATCACCAGTAGGGTTCTGCGACTGAATCTCCTTCTCCCCAGTTGCCTTTTAAGTGGAGAAGGATGTAATGTATTTTCTTTCCCCTTAACGCTTACCTTCGAAGCATAATTGGAAGCCCGTCCGGCTAGCAATCGGGAGGGCCGGAATTTGAATACCGAAGCGGACATTGTTAGTTTTTCACGATTCTTGTCCCCCCCGCCCTCTAAAAAAGAAAATAGACTTTAAAGCTGACCTACACTCAAACTAAAATGCAAGTGACGAATATTTTCACCCTCTTTACCAAATGCCTTCATTGTGTAACAAATTGAAAGCACGTCCGTCTATCGGAAAGTTTGGGGTTCGAATACCGGCGAGGACATTGCATAATTTTTACGTCTCCTGTGACGAATTAAAATGCCTGATGATCAATATATTAATTGCAGTACATTCTAATAGTAATTTATTTTAATATAATTAATTATTTTAATATTGTAGTAATTAATGTAATCAATATATTTCTTGAAGTAAAGCCCAGAAAAATAAATATCATTTGTAAACAGTCGTATATAGATAGCATTGTTGTTTTTATATTATTTCTCTCTAACACAGGACCCCATAATGCAAACGAAAAATTGTTACAGCTCAAAATCAGTCAGGTACACATGAAATTATTTTATAAACACTCAACAAATACAATTCAACAAATGTAATAAATCTGGCAAAGTTGAATAAACCCCGTAGTATACTTGAAAATTACAAAAGGCGCGAAGGCCAATGATGCCATAGATATGTTTCTTACCTGTGACAACTTTACGCCATTTTTTAACCAATGAATAACTGGAGAAGGGTTACCACCAGCTTGACACTCCAGAAATTGATTCTCACCTTCTTTCACACGTAGAACTCTCGGTGGTTTCGCGTGGAGACGCAGGTGTGTTCTTGTCACTTGCCAGCTGTGGTTATTTTCTGAAATGCGAAAGGAAAAAAAGAAAAAAAATCACTTTTTTTTTCTCCGGTTTGATGCGTCGCATAGAAAGCATTTCATCCTTGAACATTTTGTACGCCCTTGAACTACCTAACCATTAACACGATGTCAACGAAAGTATCTAGTAAGGATGCGGGAGAAAGTAATCTTTAAGAATAGAGGTTTACAGTGTTTAACATTATGACGTTATAAATGTAACTTTGGGATTTATTTTTAGGGTTTGATGCTACCAAACAAATGCAGGTGTTTAAAATAAGAAAATATGATGCAGAGGTTTCGAAGCAGGCTATGTAGTCTGAGGGTATTAATTATTGATTCCACAGTGCAGCATAAATTAAATAAGGCTTCTACAGTGCACTATCTACTTACTTTAACTGCTACACTAACTGTTTGTGCTGCTAACTCTTTGCTACAGAGTCGCCTTCAGCTTTACTGTAGTAACTATTGCACTTTTAAGAAATAACTCTTGTATTTCCTAACGTTACACTTTCATGCTCAGTCTATGACGAATGGTAATTTGAGAATACCATTTTCTTTGGAAAGATGGAAGAACAAACATTAATGGCATCTCCAAAATAACATGGAAATTTGGAGTTAACAAACGTCATATCCCGCACTAAGTTGGAGTGATAGTCGTTATGAGCAGAATAAGATTCTATATCTTAAAATATAATTACACGAATGCAAGTAAAGTCAGGGAATCTAGTTAAAAGATTTATATTAAATCCGAGAATACTATTCCTGAAGTTACCAAACTTTGACCATGTGAAAATTAGTTACATTGGGAGAAAAGTAACTTAAATGTTGACAACCACAATGAGTGAAAACTACCCTGCCTTGTTACAGTGAATAGAGCAGGTTATTTACAATAAATCGCAATAGCATTTTAATGGAACTCATATAATCAGTTTATGAATTTAAAAAAATCTCCGACTATGGTTAAAGTAGGCGATAATACCCAATACTATTAACTTCATCAGGAAGAAGGATCTTCTGTCAGGAAAGTGTTGGTCGTGCCCCTTTGCTAAATTCCAGGTATTAAAAGATAAATCTCCGGTTTGCAAAGAATTAATCCGTGCATAAATGAAAGCTTACAATGTGGTCCGAAAAATCGCTCTTTCCATTCTATCGCGCAGCTGAAAGGCATGCGAATTCTGGCGGCAAAGGATGTATTCCATAATCGCTTAAACTTACAAAGCCTTTTTTTAAAAATAATTTTTTTCATTTATCGTTTATTTCCATACTTATCAGTTACATTAGTGGTTTTTCTGAAGATGCTTAAAAAACTAGTATGTCTAATTTCTTCAGGAGATGAATGTATGGATTCCTCTTAAAAAAAAACTGGTGTAATGCAAGTAATGAAGAAATGATTCGTTAGTCTGCGAAAATATGTAATTGCTCGGGACCTCTTTTATAGTTTAAAATTTCTGTTATTGGTTCATTGGATATAAGTACCATAGCAGAAAATACGAACTCTTTTTTAGGAAGAAATGTTTTTCGTAATGACGCCAAATTTTAACAGGACATTTCCACATCGCATCATTTTAAAGTAGTAATTTACAAGCTAAAAGCTTTCATGGGACACTCTTATTACTATTTTTTAAAGTGTAAGACTTTATGAATGAATTTAAGAAGTTAGAGTGTGAGTCCTAAAACAGGGAATTTTGGTATGCTTTATCATTAAAGCTTTACTTATAACTCACTGAACCATTATCAAGAAGTCTGGCTATTCTTGTTAAAGGGCATATTAATATGTTATTAGGTAACTGCATATAATATTTTGTCCTTTCAGTGTAGCTTTATTACATCACTGTCGTATTTTATTGATTGAATTAGGAAAACGTTAGTTCGTAACATGTCATTTAACAAACAATGAAGATTTACTTTCAGACTTTCCTTTCTGGCTTGTTTCCTCACGTACTCGCTCAGTCCAGAGGTTTATGCATTTGTTTATGGCAAGCGTTGTAATTTAAATTGAGCAAAAAATATCGTAACCGAATTGTAGAGTTATTTGTTGCTGCCATCCCTTATTTGCTTGGAAAGGAAGAAGCTGACGAAGTTAAACGTGAACTGCTTGACATCCGGCGCAGTTTTGGTACCTATTGGTAAAAATTAGGTTGTTCGACCCAGTTGATATTGTATATCTGAGTAGGATCACAAACCAGTAAATTTGTTTTCCAGCCAGTAGCTGTAAGTCAAGAAGCCTTAAATTTTGTGCTGTACTTATTTTAGTTAACTTTGCAGAGGTAAGAAAAAGTTAAATTAGTATTTTACATTTTGATTTCATCTCTTGCTTCCATAGTCTGTTAAACCAAAAGCAATAATTCGCCATGGCAGTAAAGTTTTAGTTTGGTTTACTTAATTACGGCAAAGCACTCTAAGGCTATCTGCCAAAGGGAAGAGACGCCTTCGTGGAGGACTTTCTAAGGGAAGCTGGCTCGTATACAAGTTACACGTCTACAAAACCATGAAAGCGTCCATGCAACCAGACCGTTCGCCGGGATTCGATGCTTCGGAGCGAACTACCAGTGTCCAGCGACTTTGCGCTCGGCTGCTGGTGGACTTCACAGGAAAGGTAATGATTTAGGTGAGTGGTGACAAAGGCAGTTAAATTTTATTTGTCAGATGCCAGTTACATTGGCAGTTAGGCCATTAAACTCCTTGCTTGCCAATAGCACTGAAATCCACAAGAAAAATTTGTCAGTGCTTCACGCTCGTCCAAATGTTCTGCTGTTATTGGCCGTCCACTATTACAAAAAACACACAATGTCGAATCAGCTAGTCCAATGCAAAATAAATGATTCTGCCGACAGTCATGTCTCGTCAATAGTCTAAAAGATGCAACCGCAACTGTTCGCGGGTGGTCAGAAACAAAAGCTGGATTTGTTGAGAGAACACTTTAAGGCTTGCCCTCACAAGCCCGAGTGGAAGAACTTTTAAAAGTCTTTTGATATGTTAGCGATGTTAGAAGCTTAATAGAATGGAAGTTTGCACTCGTTTTTGGCTTTTGGAGAACCGTATCCCCCTTTTTCTTAAGCATATCAGCCATCTTATTCCCATAAATACCGCAGTGTAAAGGTACTCATTGAAAAACTATCTTGTGGGAAAGTTCTTTTATGACTTCCTGACACTGTTGAACACGCATATGTTCTTACACTCTTGGTAAGAGGAGATGGCCTGTATTGCTGAAGTCGAAATAAAATGAAGCAGTTAAATAGGTAGTAAGCCTCTCCTCAATTGGTATCTCGGCTGTCAAATGATGCATTTTTGTTATCGGATTAAGTTTAAAAAGCGCTATCATTTTTCTACGATATTCTCTGCCCACTCAGAATTATTTTTTTATATGCTCAGTAGTTAATCTAATATTTTTCTAAAGCTATGAAAAGAAAATTAAAATATCTAATATCTGTCGTAACTGCAAATAACTTCAGAAAAAATCCTTTAATGGAAAATCTGATACAGCGATCTCAAACATTTATATGGTTCTAGTTAAAGTATGTGTCCTTTGGCAACTAGAAATGGAGAAGAGTTTAGTGACCATTCGCTGCTTTTCTTACAACTATAGAAACAAAGTCCAAAGAAGGGTTAAAATATCCTTTTATTCCACTCAAAGAATAATAACAGACTGCCGCTCTCGGACTTACAGGAAAACCTCCCTTGGGCTTAGACAGAAAATAAAAAACTAACTTAATTCTAATTAACTAAGCTGAAGCTGTAGAGAAATAGTTAACCGAGTTGGTGCTTAATTAACCTCACCGGCGAATACTAACATGCACGTAAGACTACGGCCGAACGCATTGAGATAGGCTTAAAGCAATGACGTGGCCAGAAGGCAGAACACGCTCTACTGAGAACGTCTGATCTCTTCCACGGAAACGACTGAACTTTCCATTAAATAATGGTTCTACTTCATTTTCATAAAAGGCGATTCTGAAGACTCATTATGGTAGGTAGTTGCAGATGAGAAACAAGAGAATAAAAGAAAGGGCTTTAAATTAAAAATAATTATTAGAAAATTAAAATAATCGCTACACATTTCAAAAGCTTCAAACGTTTTTTTAATAATTTGACTGCAATTATAAAACTTTTTAAATTTTCTTAGCTATTTTTTTTAAAGTCTTAATTGAATTAGAACAAAATTAAAAAATATAGGTATGATTTTATTTACTTTTTTAAATGTTGCTAATGTAGTTTAACTTTAATTTCTGAGGGTCTAAAGTATTTTCATTTATCAATAATTTATCTTTATGTTTATATAATTAAATAGCATGCGCGTAACTATGAAATGCTTTCAATGAGTGAGAAGTTATGCTACCTATAATATTCTACTTAATACGAATTTAATTAGCCCTTTGCGGAACAGTGTGTCCGGTCTGGACACACCTAAAAATTTCCTTCTGTGCGCACAGAAAAATTGAATGAAAAAGGATTTATAGGTTACTCTGAACCTTCTTTATTTATAGTAGATGGCAGCTCAACACAAACAAGTCCATATATTTTAGCCATGTTTAGTTTTTTTAAGACCCTTATTTTTCAAAGAAACCTTCCAGATTTTTTTAGGGTATAAAAGGAATTTTTTAAAAAGAAATTTCTATGTTATTTTTTTTGGCTGTATGCTAATCTCCTTATTCTATATTAGTTTAAAATTTTCACCTTGAAATCTTGCCTAAAATCAAACGGCGAACCCTAGGTGTGCCCAGACCGGGCTCACCGATAATCTAGGACAACTGAGAGTCTGTATTTTTTGTTTCTCCGCATCTCATCAGTCAGTTCATTGACAACAATGCTCGTTTCAGCACTCTTTTTGAAGCTCTATTCAATCAGTGTGCCATCTTCAAGCACACCCACAGAAATAAACGATAAGTGCTATCTTCACAAAATTTTACTTGTGTACCCTCTAGGCCTAATTAGACTGCCTACCTTTTTTTTTTTTTTTTTTTTTTATCAAAACTCCGACTTTAATTAGTAGCGTGCCGGAAAGGGTTAAATATCTTCTCAGCAGATTAAAAAAAATATAAAAATATATTTAGCTTACCTCCTCTCGCATCTTCATGCCTTCCCTATCAATTAAAAAAATATAAATTAGAGAATAATATTTAGTACAACCTAAAACAATAATTGTAAAAAGAATAAATTGAATAATTTTAACTCAGACTGTTAATATTTCTCTTATGCATGAAAATTATATGACAAATATAAACTCTTCAGGAAAATTTCAGAAAGTTCAAAACTAAAAATTTTGATACAAATATATTTTCACTTTTATTGTTCTATAACTGAATTTTTTCAGTCATTTTACGGCAATAATAAAGAATTCTAAAACTAGATTTTCGTTTCGGAAGATCGCTTTGCATTGAATGGTTACGGAAATCGTTGTAAACATAAAAAATTAAAACTCATGGAGTAAATACGAAGAATGAAAGCTACATGAAATTATAAAATATTATTCTACTTACCCTGGTATCGAGATCTATATGTCGACTCAAAACCAATGGAATTAGTGCAAAACTCATGAAAATGGCGATGGCGTAATGTAACATTTTGATTTCTGACTATTTGGACAGTAAAATTTATCTAAAATAAAAAAAAAGGCAACATTTAATGAACACTGGTTGTAAAATAAAGCAATGAAATTTATTTGATAACACCTTTTTCATCATTATTGAAAATAATAAAGTGCAAATACATTCTAAAAAGCTATTCAATCATTTCAAGATTTGAAATGGATTCTCGCAACAGTAGCAGTTAATAAGAAAAAGCGTTCTTTCGGAACTGTGAAAAATTTGCATACTGCATACCAATCATCTATGCTTAAATTTTTATGCCAAAGATTTTTTATACAACTCAAATGTTCCAAACTGTTGCCTATTTCACATGCGAAGAATTCTGAACCTCTAATTGGTAGAGTAACACATTATTTAAATTTAAAATTTAGTTTAAATCTAAATCTAATTTAAATTAAATTTAATATTATAATTTTAAAATGAGTTTTACATTTAATACATATTAATAATTTAAAGAAAATTAAGCAAAAAATGCGATCTTAGATCAGCGTAGATTTTTGAATAAATGTGTACTGGTTTCGAGGCTAATCAGATATAAGCCCCTCTTCTTTAGGACCATAAAACCTTTGCATAATAGGAATGTTTTCTTAATTAACTAAAAATATAAACATAATAATATTATCAAAAATACATTTATATATGCAATTTTTAAATTCTTTACTTTGCTATAAACGATGCATTGTTATAATTCGAAGGTTAAATAAAAAACTTAAAGCCGAATTTTAAGGTAAAAGCTAACGATATTGGTATTTGGACAGCCGCATGAATCATTAAATGGGAGATTTGCGATCGAATTACGTAATGCAACAAAAAAAAAATAAATAAATAAATAAACAGAGAGATTAGGTTCTAAAAATTTCTAAGAAAAAAATGAAGCTACAGAGACTGTTGGCACATTTTTAGGCGACTTTGTATGCTTGTATGTATCCATTTAGTATCATCAACGAGGAAAAATATCTAAAACTTAGTTCAAGGAATCAAAAGAAAGCTTCCCAAAGAGATTTGTGATTGTTGCTGGTTTTTTACATAACGGCATATTAAAAATAAAGAGCGTCTATAAAAATGTTAAGCTCTATAAACTAAGATAAATTCACACATTATCAGGAACATATTTTATACCCACTTTTCAAATACGAAATACCTTCTCTTTCACACAATGCCTTCAAACAGCAGAACTGCATCAAGTCAAAACAAGTAGCCACACGTTAAAATCCACTGCTAATTACGTGGGGAAAATAGAGCAAGAGACGGGTATCAAGGCCATATCCTTCACTAGAGTTCTATCACCTATGGAGTTCTGCGCATTTGGACTTTCAAAAAGCTGATTGTCCAAACGTCGATTGTCCAACCCTCCTTGGACTTTGGAAAGCCATTCAAGAGGGATACCTCTTCCGATATTACAAAAGGTTTTACTGTCTTGGAAATTACGGTGTAGAAAGATAGTGAAGAATAAGGGTACCAAATAGAACATTTAAAACGCAAAAAGTTTAGATAATATATTTTTTGAAAATACAATGAAAATCGTCTAAAAAATGTGCGAAGAGCATCTGTATTTTCATAGCCTAATGGATATGCAAATTTTAACTTGATTCTGCCAAAACGTTCGATCCAAAAATGTAAGAAATGAAACATATCTCAGCATTAATATTATTATTTCTTACCTAATACATAAAATTAAAATTCGCTTGGTTATCCCGCTTGGAATATTAACTCATTTTGTCTGGTCAAGACTGGATTTAACAGATAAATTCAATATAGAATACTTAGTACTGTATAACGATAATTAAATTATATTCCCCTATAATTAAATAATGTAAGTATACGCTAAATATTTATCAAAGTATTAGACAGTAAAAGGAATGTTTTGCGCAAGGTACTGTTTCTTTTCAAATAAGGTAGTCGAAGGTTTTCAGATCGTTTGCAACATATAAAATAGGAAAGAAGCATTCATTCAGATGTTTATATAGTGTAAGTAAAACCTTTTTAAGCCTAATAAATGCATCAATTAGAATCACTTGTATAATCTGAATCTAAAAGAAAGTTCAAGTTCAGCATTGGGCAAAGGATGTTTGAATAAACGGGTATTTTATTACCCTTTGCAAATTTACATTTCAATAAATTTAAATCTACTCTTTTGTAATAATTAAAATTCTTTTACCTCTGTTATAAAACATTTTGCTGTTAATATCATATTTAAATAAATATAAAAAATATACAAATACCTCAAAAATGCGTAGATTAATTACAGAAAATTTATAAAATAATAATTTGATTCCTTTAAAAAGGTGCTGAATTTAAAATGTGGCAATGACAAAAAACTAAAGAACAGAATTTAATAGGAATAATTATATATATTGTACAGTTTGGCAAAGTAAATAGCTAAATTCGATATATTACTCAGTCACCTGAAAATTTTTAAAAGCAATATGTTCTAAAATTCAAGCTTCGCATTAACACATCCTACGCACAGAAACGATGAATTCAGTATGCAGAAAGAAAATATCTGAATAGTTTTCGATTAAATGCTTTAGTAATTAAAAATAAATAGCGAAAAAAAGGTCGATTAATTATTTTGAATATAAAATATGTCAACAGAAATCAACTCACTCGGATTAGGAACTATAAATATCTTCTTCCGAATAAATCTCAGTAGAAAATAAAACAAAACTTTTTCACACTCTTTCACGACCTTCTATTCCAGAGCTCCAGTTTACTACGAGTATATACGCACGTTTCAATCGCCCGCGGCGGTAGTGTTATTCGTAATAAAGAATGATTTAAGCGTAATTGCAAGAGCTACGACACCTGGTGGAAGCCCTCAGCGCCAGAGGGAACAAATGGTCAGATCGGATTCCATTGAGTCTTAGTCACGTAGTTAGTTGGAAGGCTTTCCTTTTTTTTTTTTTTTTTTTGGGGGGGGGGGGTTGTTCCTTCGCGATACTCTTTTGCGTTGCAAATATTGCTTGCTTTTGTTCTTTTAATTGAACAAGTTGTAAGTGAAAGTTCCAGTCAACATAAAAATGGCGGGATAACGTGAATGGAACGAATACGTCAGGGGTTCTCAATCAGCGCGCAATTCCCCCCCCTTTGGGGGAATTTCATAGTTTATGGGGGGGGGAAATGTACTCAGCCCTTTATTTATCTGTTAAGTATTCAGTTTTAGTTTATGAATACAAAAATCTACTTCAGTTCAAGTTTGGTAGTTATCAAAACTTTCTACACTTTTTCTTCTTTAATTTATAAAATACATTAACAAAATATAAATTTAAGTAAATGTATATGTATTTTTCGAGTTTTGTAAAAAGGACGGGGGGGATGATCGTCTAGAAGTGGAAAAAAGGGTGCATGGGGCAAAAAAGCTTGAGCATTTACTGGAATACGTGAAGCTAACTGATAAATAATGTTAAAATTATCCATTGGTTTTCATGAAATATAATGAATAGAATGAAAGAAAATTTTTATTTCTTACATATTATTTTTTAAAAATATTTACCGATCTGACTTAAGTTATAAGTATAATAAGACACTAAAATATTTTTAAGTATGTGTAATATATAATAATCCTGATCCATTATTTCACTCTTAAATGAAATAGATATTATTACTGTAATAGCATATTCTAAAGATTTTTCACTTTGTAGAGTCATTATATTAGAACGTGAAAAAAGTGCAATGCTCTGGCCCGCATTTGAAGCCCCGACCTCTCGAATACGCGTTGAGCGTGCTCTGTTTGTAATTGATTTTAGATGTTCTGTAATCGGCTTGCCTTCCAGTAATTTCGAGCAGCAGAAAATACTGGAAATATCTCAGCAGACGGGTTTTTTAGCTGTTAGGTTTATATGAATACAGTGTACTGAGATATCTACGGGTTAGCTTTGCTCTTTAGATGTGCTTTGCATGGCGTTGTGTTTAACGTTCTTAGTAGTTTGAAGTGTAACTACTGATTGTACTGTGGGATACTGTGAAGACCTGTACTGGTATTTCTGTGGAAACTTCCAGAGCTCTGAAGTGTTTCTTTTGATAAAATAAATTTTATCAACTTTTATCATCGGACAAGTGTGCATTCAGTCTATTACGAACCCATGCGCACGCAACAATATATTCTTTAACCAGTTAGAGATTTGGTTTAAATGATTTTTACCAAGAATTAAAGAAAGGCAAAGTCAAAATGACGATGTCAATTTCCCTTGAACAAGGACCAGAAAAGCTGACATAATTTGCTGTTAAATTTCATTTTATTAAAAAATAACCAAAACAATTAAATAAAAAATCTTTCAGATTTTACATTACGCCCAAAAAGGATATTTTTAACGTTTTGTGTGTTACCTTTATTTATTAAGTATCATGTTCTTCGCACTTAAACCATAAAATTCAGTTTAAGAGCAATATCGCAAAATGATTTAAAAATGAGCATATCTTTAGAATTTCCGATACCCAGTCTCGCGTGCTGGAGATAAAAATGATTTTATGTACAACGTTGCCATTACTCGCTTTGAAATCCTTGAGTTGGTTAGTCAAAAATTCGTTAAAGTGTTAGAAAATATGAAATTGATAATAACAAAAATTTCAAATTCCAAATTTGGGCTTCCAGATACCCATATTCGATAGGAAGATTACGTTATTCAAAATTGGATGGCTCCCGTCATTTTATTCTAATGCGAAACACATATATACATTTATAGAGATTATTCATTATTTAATTTCTTTAAATATAATACAGGGCGATAATATTTAGCGGCAACAATTTGAAAAGTGAAACAACGCTTATAGTGAATCAACGCAAAATGTCAAAACGTAATTAATAGTTCTTCAGGACAAATTGCCCCTTTGGACTAAAAACAAATTCCAAATTTGGACTCCAGATGCCCATATTCGGGTGAAAATATACATTATTCAAAATTTGATGGCTCTAGGTACCATTGTTTTATCACAATGTGAGAAACATACATACATTTATGCAGATTCTTCATTATTTAATTTCTTTAAATATAATATAGGGCTCTAATATTTGGTAGCAACAGTTTAAAAAGTTAACCGAAATTAATAGCTCATCTGTGCTAACGCCCTTTGGGCTAAAAACTCCCTTTTCACCCTAAACGAAAGATAAACAATTAGCTAAGAGAGAAGTTAAATTTTAAAGATTAAAAATTTAACCAAAATTCAAAATTTGGCAAAAAAGCAGTCTTAAAATGGCGTAGGTTTTTAAATGAAACTCAAGTTATATTCAAAATCTATGCCAAGCTAAAATTGCTTTGCTGCCTAATTTTAATTCTTTTTAAATTTTACTTTGGTGTCTTTCTCTTTTAATTCAGTTCAAGTAAAATTAATCAAAGAAAATTGGGGGAGGAGACTCTAAAATTGTTCCCTGAGTGCCATGGCTGGGCTTAGGGGTAGCACGTCCATAGTAGTCCACAGTGATAGCACGTTCAAGTGTGTAGCATCGGAAGAGATCCGAACTTCAAATCCTGGTGAAAGTATAAATGATTGTTCCACGTTTCTCTATCCAAAAAATTCCAAAAGCACTCTACAAGTGGAGCCACACTAAAAATATGATTAAAATGTGGATCTGCAGACTGTCTCCGTCATCATCAGTCATCATTTAAATGGGAGAAAATGGAAGAAAATTTCACTTTTACTGCTATATGATTTTGCAGAGAGAGATAGTATGTCTGGCTGCAATTGGGAGATCCGAGTTCGAATTCCAGTGAAGACATAGCTGAATCTTTGTATTTCTTGCTTCATAAACCCTAAGCCACTCTACAAAAAAACGTACTCATAATCTAGAGCTGTAAATAAATTTTCTCAGATCATCAAAGATATTTTATATAAAATAATATCTGTAGGAGATGAAGGCCAACAGACGGAAATTTATGTCAGTGGAAACATCTTTTAGGTAAAGGAACTGGAATTCCAAACAGCAAATGCTTTGGAACCTATCCATCAACCGTGCATTGACAGAGATCAATGCTGACAAACATGAACTTTTTAAAAAGACGTTGAGAACGTCATGTTCTGTGAGAAATTGATTAGAAGAAATAGAAACAAATAAATAAATGCTGCTTAAATAAAATTAGATTGTAAAGAAAATTCTTTTAAAATGTTTAGCCTCGGTAAACATGAAATACTCTGCATACCAGTTTTAACAGTTTCTTCTTCGTATCTGAGATTTTCTTCAGTAAGACATTAACGTATGTATATTTTAACCACACATTTATGAAGTAGGAGGCCTATCTAATTGAGCGTTTGTTGCTCTTTATGTTAGGCAGAAGGTATGTGTTTTTTTTTTAATTTAATAATTTGGAAGCCCATGAAACTTTGGACTTTTTGCGATTGCAACGTGCATGATCCTATAAATTTGCTTCTGCATATATGAAATATAATCTCCAAGCAAGGTTAAAGTTTGGGTAAAATTATTTATTTATTTTTTTTGCCAGCAATAGCATAGTTCTCTTTTATATACGTGAAATTAAAAGTAATATTGGTCTCAGTATGTCTTAATGGCAATGAATAGTTTTTCAAAACTACTGTTGTTCGTCAGAGTCTCTGAAGATAAAAAAGTCCTTTCTAAATGCTATAAAATCAGTTTCATAATTAGGCTTCATCAAAGTTGTTCAGTTTGAAAAACAGAGGACACACTACCAAAGCAAAACTTTTGTTTCAATCCTTATTCAGAGCAAACAAAACTAAATCCCTTCTGCCATTTTTACTTCCATCAGTGAGGAACATAATGTCATACAGTTAATGGTTAAATAACGCTAAAGGACCAAAATGTAACCCAGTTTGACGGCTTAAAGAAGTTTAACTGATCACTGAAATTAAACACATACTGCTCTTAAACCCAAATCTGAAAGTGAGTTCAGAAATTTACACTTTAAAAAATTCGCTGTAGAATCTCTGAATTGTTTCATTAAAAATATTAAGAAGGGATAAAGTAGGAAATAATATTAAATAAAAGTTAACCCTGACATATTATTGATCTTTTAACCATGCATTCAAATAAGGGACGTTTTAATTTATCTCAAATCTATGCACGCAAGCATTTTAGAACAGTGTCGCATATTTCGCCAGTTTAGTTGTATTCAAGAATAAAGAAGTGCTAAGCTTGCAATTACATCTTCAGTGATGATTGCAATTACTAGCCATAAACTAGCCACGATTGCAATTATATTTTCAGTGATGATTGCAATTATATCTTCAGTGATGATTGCAATTATATCTTCAGTGATGATTGCAATTACTAGCCATAAACCAGCCGTGATTGCAAACACTTCTTTATGCCCAACATCATCAGAATTTTTTTTCTTTAGAGAAAAGTGAATGCTTTGTAAGATATTTGAATATTTTGTTATCTTAAATACATTATTTCGTACGTGAGTTAATACTAAAAATATGTTTTTACTTTGTGAATTCATGGATATACGAAAGTTTTATATTTATTCCCACAAAAATATTTAGTTGCAAACTTCATGCGCAGTCGTAATCTGTTACTCTTAACGAATATAGTCATAAAAATTTAACGGAGTTATATATTTGGCATCATCAAACGAAACGCATGCTTGTTATAAATATAGAGCTAGAAAATTATTTTAATAAAAAAAAGCATTAATGCTGTATCACTCCGCACCCAAACTTGAAGGAAAATGTCTGAAAATATAAATTTATTTTTTCTCCAATTTGTTAGGTTAGAACACGTGCGTATAGCGCAGCGAACTATTAAAGAAACAACGCAGTGAGTGAGCAAATTAG